CGGCGATGATTTAACACAACTATTGTTGTCTTATCTTAGATTTGATGACAAACTAAGACTTGAATCGGTGTCCAAACAATGGCAACGATTGATACCACAGACAGTCACTGAGATTTTATTTGACAAAAAGTTGCGCCAAATAACCGATAAATCGTTGGCCAGACTGTTGTCGAAGTGTCCAAACATTGTCCGCATTGATGTCCAATACAGTGAAAAACCATTGCCGATAAACAACTCACTGATGTTATCATTGATTACCCAATATTGTCAACACTTGCGACACATTTCCATCGATATTGACAGTCATTACGCAAACAGATCCCTAACAGTGATAATCATTGACAAGTTTTTAGATAAATTTGCCAAACAATTGCTGACAATTGATTTGGGATGTAATGAACCGCAACAACTAACTCAAAGTTTGGATAATAAATTCAAACAGTTTGCAAACATTTCATCATTTAATTGCTATTCAAATAATTATTTTGTTTGGGATGAGATGTCTTTATTTTATCGACACTTTACTGGCTATCGACTACCACTTTATCGGCGATTAAACAAACTTGAGATCAATCTTTTCGACAGACAAGTGGTCGATATTTTTAAAGATATTTTAAGAGTATATGACAGTCAACTGATATCACTGAGAGTTAGACTTATGTATCTGATTGGTGTCGACTTTGGCCGAGTTATGACCGGTTTGACACAATCGGTACAATTGATTGACTTAAACATTGAATTGTTTACATACGATACCTATTGGCAACAATTGCCTCATCTGTTGGCACCAATTGGTCGCAAATGTTTACGATTAAAGAAATTAAGAATTTATTATAAAATCAATGAAATTGATTACAAAATTGACAACAATTTAGTAAACATTATTTCCAATAATTTTAARCAATTAAAATCATTGAATATATGTAATAAATATACGGATTTTATTGGATCTATTAGTACAATGAATAATAGCATCAAACAGTTGACACAATTGACAATCATATCAAAGCCAATGTCGACAACGGATCAGTTTATCGGTAATATTGTCGCTAACTGTCCGCGGCTTCAGTATCTTCAGTACAGCGGTTATCGAATTGATTCCAAAGGATTGGAATCATTGTCACGATTACCGCATTTGCGGACAATTATCTTAGACAATGTCGACAACAAAGACACCGATTTGAATGTTATTAAAAATTATAATAATGTTTGCAAAGTTTGTATTAATAATAATAAAAATGTTGTCTAATATATAAAAWTTATTTTTTTTTGTTAATATAAGTTGATTTAATTGTAATATTTTTTAAAAATATTTAATTCAAATTTACTAAATAATGTATAACTAATTTTATGTATAGTTTAGAAAAATATAAATTTTTTTTGAACATATGATTTAAATTAATATCAATKATACTAATAATATTAAAGATTTTTAAATATTTATTATTTTCAAATAGATAATAGCAATTAAATTTATTTATTTTTTATCAATTATTTAAGCAATTAATTAAATAAATAATTTCATTCATAAAACTTGATTACTTGATAAAAAATTAAAACAGTAAATCAAATAATTAATTACATTGTATACTAATTAGTAGTGTATTGATTAATAATTTTTTATACTCTATGAAATAGTTGTTATAATAGTTGCTAAAAAAAGTCAAATAGTTGTTAAAATAGTTATTTAAACTGTATTAAATAGTTGTATATAGTTGCCAAAAAAGCCAAATAATTATTGAAATAGTTATTTATTTTCTTATAAATATTTGCAACTGATATATAATTCAGTTGTTTCAGTATATTTACAAAAATTATTTATATAAATAAACTAATTATTACTATTGTTAAAAAAGTATGAGTTTGAATGAGTTGATAACAGTTTACAAATTTTATATAATTTATATAACTATTACTTTTTGTTTTTACATATATTTGTGCTTAATTTTACAATTTTATGCTTATATTTTTCAAAATCATTGAAATAGTTATTTATAAGTTTTTATAGTTGCTAATTCAACAAATAGTTATTTATAGTTATAATAAAATTTCGGAAATAGCGTCCACTGGTTAAGTTCAGTGGACATATTAAGTCCCAGTTATAAGCGTTGAACCGACAAAATAATTTTTTTAGTTGGAAATCAAGACACTACTAATTAGTGTCGATAATAATAATAATATAATAATAATAATAATATATGTTATTTAATGTAATAAATAAATAATAAATTAAAACATTATATAAATGGATAGAAAACCAGAAAAATTTTCCAACCAATTAGTAAAAAACTGTCCGAATATATTCAAAACCAAAATAAATCAAATGAAAAACATTTTTTCAACAATTGTTTTTTTTAAAAAAAATCATAAYTAATATTATAATTTGTATATTTTATTTATATTTATTTAAAGTAAATTTATATAAATTAAATATATAAATTATAATATTAGTTTTGATTTAAAAAAAACAATTATTGTTGAAAAAATGTGTTTTTTGTCTAATCATTGACTACATAATGCATTTACACATTAAAATACAATGATATGCAATGSTATTAATGATTAAACTGATAGTTTAGACATCTATTAATAAATTTGTGTAAATTTATCAAAAATATTTTGGTTTTGAATATATTCTGTCAGTTTTAGTAATACATTGTTTGAAAACATTAATATACAGTAGAATGCAATCAATGAATGAATGCAATGAATACTGTATTTCAGTAATCAATTGATTAATGTTTTCATTAGTTTTYACAACAAAAACACAAACAAAAAAACAAAATATTTATTAATTGTTTTGATTTACAATTSATTACTAAATAATAATAATAATATTGTAATTATCATATATTATATTATAATTATTGTCTTCAGCAGGTTTGACATCAATATTGAGGCGATGAGTTGGTCATCGATGGCAAAGAAAATGTGTTTAAGAAGTGATTCATTGAGAAGACAATCGTTTGATCGTTTCGGCGAAGATTTGGCTAAACTATTGTTGTCTTATCTGACATTAGATGATAAGCTAACACTTGAATGTGTTTGCAAACAATGGCAACRATTGATACCAYTGACTATCGATGAGATATTTTYTGAACAGATKTGTTCAGTTMTATAACCGACGAMTCKTTGGCCAAACTATTGAAGAAGTGTCCAAACATTACACGAATTGATATGTATTGCAGTGTATTGTCGTTGCCATTGATTACCCGATACTGTCGACACTTGAAACACATTTATATTCACTTATGCGATGAAGAAGTAGAAGCCATAACTCAGCCGATGATTGACGAGTTATTTGCAGTATTTGCCAAACAATTGCATACATTAAGTATTAGTTTTGCAGAATGTGATGATCTAATGATATCAATGGACAACAATATCAAGAAGTTGACAAATATCAGGAAATTTAAGTTTATTGAATACTTACCGATAAATCAAATCCGTATATATAGTCATTTCACTGATAATACAACATTGGTTTATCAGAAACTAAACAATCTTAAGATTGACATCAATGACACCGAAATGGTTAATCTGTTTGTTAAGATTGTCTCAGTATATGGCCATCAATTGAGAGTATTATCTGTTAAACTCATAGGTCTCGATGATATCGACTTAATTTATACAGTTATGACTGGTTTGTCACAATTGACACAATTGATTAACTTAAATGTCAAATTACACGAAGATTTCAATCATTTACAACTATTGTCACAACTATTGCCACCAATTGGTCTCAAATGTCATCGATTGAAGCGATTGAAACTTGAGTTGTTTGGTGATAGAGATGTTAATAATACTAAAGATGGCAGCGATATATTGAAAACAATTTGTCAGTACTTTAAACAATTAAAGAGATTATATTTGAGTAATTTATTTCAAACAATTGATTTGATTGGATCTATTAATACAATGAATAGTTTAAAACAGTTAACACATTTGCGAATCATATCGAAGCCTATGTCGACAACCGATAACTTTATCGTTGATATCGCCGCTAACTGTCCGCGACTTTATTACTTGCATTAYATGGGTTATMGTATTGACTCAAATGSATTGCAATCGTTATCACGATTACCACAATTGCGGACAATTATCTTAARGAATGTCAGCAATGGTGTCGATTTGAATGCTATTAAAAWGTGTCGTAAAATATGTGAAATTTTAATTAATTCTAAGGATATTATAATTTAAGATATATATTAATATATATATATATATCATATAAGTAAATAAAATTTATATAATACAGTATTTCATATAATTCATATTAATTGTTCAATTGAATTGTTATTAAAAAAAATAATTTCATAAATATATACTCTTATATAACTTATTAATTTTAATACAAAATTTTTATTATATTGTATTACTAAACTAATTGTAAGTTTTTAGTTATTTTATTATTTGTTTTAATTATATACTTTACTTTTTTTAGTATTTATACACTTTTAATTTTTTTTGTTATCTAAGATTTGAACAATTTTTAAGTTATAAAATAGCAATAACTTTAAACATAAAAATGTAATTTAATTTTCTCGTTTTGATTAAATAGTTTTGATTTTTTTAGTAAATGTAACTTTTAATTTTTATAATTAATTTTAATAAATAAAATTTATGGACAATAGAAATAAAATAATTTTAGACATTTTAGTTTTTAAACAGATATTTTTTATTAAATCAATTTCAAACTGATACTAAATTTAATAACAATTTGTTAGCTAATTAATAATTTTATTGATATATTTAATTAATCAATTTTTTAGAAAAATTATATATAATTATTTTTTGTGTGTATATTTGTCTATTGAAAAGCAAATCAAATATTTTTGTTTTAAATTACTTATTGATTTCAAAATTATTGTCCTCACAATTAATTAGTAAAATCTTAAAATAATCTGAAATAATTGTTTAAAACTAAATAAAAATAATATTTTTTGCGTTATAAATAATAATTGTTATTTAATGTACAAATATTTAATTAAATAACATATTCATATAGAAGTCTCTTTATTATTAACTGAATCCTTAATTTAAAAAAAWATAATAAAATAAATAATATAAAATTTAAAATCATTTATATATTACAAAATATTTTTTTTTGAAAAAAACCTTTTTAACTGATGTTTGATAATATGTTTGCCGTTTGCTATTCAATGGATATATGTATTTAACAATCGGTGACAATAGACTCGGATCTATATTATCATTGCGTTTGCCTTTTATTGAAAATCATATCAAAAATTAAAAAAAAAGTTTATATAACATTGAATATATAGTATTATTGTATTTTTTAAAATAATATATTGATAATTATAAAATGATAAATAGCAATTTAAATTTTTGACAAACCTATACATAAACTTAATATTATTGTAACAAACAATGAGATAACTAAACCAATGGTTGACATCAATAGATATGATATATGAAACACTTTACCAAAACCGCTGACCAAAAAAAAATTACTTGTAAATTAAAAATAATTATATATATATATAAAAAAAACTTGAAATACTCGGGATTATCGTAGTGTGTGATAAACACTGGTCTGTCTAATGTTGTTGTGTTATTTGATCCCATCATCAGTTGATAGTCATGGATCAGATGAGCCGCACACGAGTCGATAGTTGTCGGCAATGAGACTTTGGGTCGCGGGATAATCATTGCACCAATTGATAGCATATAACTGACAGATATGCCGCTTATAAAACCAATTAGTGTCGCCTAAATTGTGTCGTAAAAAATCATGAAAATAAGTATTTATATAAATATATAATAATTAAAAAAATAAAAATTAATTTATCATGGTAATTTTTTTATTTGAAACCAATGATGTTGCATAGGGATAGAATATGCCGATAATAAACAGTGCAAACATTGGTCCCAATGTTGATCCGGTCAATGCTAACGATGCCTGCATTACTGTGCCGGCATTGCCTACACCAAAGGACATGGCTATTGCTAACAATCCATAGGACATGGCTTTTAAGATAAATTATCATAAAAAAGTATGAATAAAATTATCAAAAAAATCAGTTATTATGTTAGTTATAGCCCATAGTAATTAGGTCCTACCAATTAGCTTAGTTATGTTTAGCGACTGTCTATCACTGGTTATTTTTAAACATGGTTTGACTATATCTATCCATGTTATAGTAGCCAATGCATTGAAACCAGATGATAATGTACTGTAAATTTATTACTATATTTAGTAGTTTATAGAATCGGTATTATATATATATATATATTTAAAAAATAAATAATTAATTTAAATATTTAGCTACCTAAGCGATCCGCTAAATATACATGCTACAAATAGGCCGGGTAGTCCCGGATATTTTGCTAGTGTGTCCATTACAAAGTAGGGCATCAGTTGATCGTGTCGGCTAATTAGTCCCAAAGTGATTGGATCGCAATCATGATATTTGGCGTATATAACCATACCGCATAGTATGGCCATTACGCCCAATAGTATTAGGCCGGGTAGGTTCCAGTAGAGGGTACTTTAATTTTATTTTAAATGTCCAAATGTCAATGACCAGTATAGTAGAAAAAAAATAATATAAAAAATACTAAAATACCGTTTGGCTTTAGCCGCCGATTCCATACTAATGTATCGCTGAACCTGTGCCTGTTTGACACAATAGACAGCTGTCCATGAAATGGTTGTACCGATTACCACATTCCAGAAGTTGTCGTGATTGTAGACATCAAATTGCATACTAATTCATAATAAAATTAAAAAAAATAAATCTATTATTTTAATAAATTACAGTACATATAATATAATAAAATTATATAACAAATCTATAGTTTTTTATTATACAAATATATATATACTGTATAAGTTGTTTTTAACATTTTTTTTTTGTAGACATCAAATTGCATACTAATTATAACAATAATAACATAAAAGTATAATCAATTAAATAAATACAGTAATAATTTTAACTATTCTATTGTGTTATTGAAAAAAATAAAATAAATTGACAACAAATTTAAAGTTTTTTTTTTGAATTAAAAACTAAAGTATTGATTACTTACTTGAAAAACTTGAGTCGACCGCCCTTTTCATTGATATGCCATACTTTGGCTATACCGCCGACTTCTAAGATACCCTTTAAAAAAATTATAATATAAAAGTTTTAAAATAAATTATAACATTTTTTTATCTACCCCCCCCCCCCCCAACTAATTAATTACTTGTATGATAACCATTAGGACACCCAAAAACATTAGTATACATTGTATAACATCAGTCCATATAACAGCTTTAATGCCACCCTTTTTTATTTGGTTTAATTACACAAAAAAAATAAATATTAATTAATTAATTTTTTCTAGTAATTTGCAAAAATTTTTAACTATATATAATTAGATTAGATTTTAAAATATAAGTTACTTTTTTCAAACAAACAAACAAAAATAATTATTATTATTAAACTAACTAACAATTGTTGTATAGAAAGTACAGATAACTCCAACCACTAGTATAGATGTTGTGATCGATAGAGGAGTAACTATTAAAAGCCATTAAAAATTATCAATAAAAATAAAAATTATATTTAATAATAATAATTAAAAAAAATCATATCAAATAATAATATACTATATTGTATTAACTAAATAAAATACCTGAGCTTAATGCTAGTGCCGGACCATATAAAACAATAGCCATATGTGGAGTCTTTAAAACAAAATGTTATTAATTAAATACTAAAAATAATTGTTAGTTTATTGTAGATAATCTAACCTAAAAGCTAATTATTAAACATAATTATAATTTTTTTTATTTTAGTAATTATATTAAACTAAAAACTCAAATTTAATACTGTATTATAGAGTTATATATATTGATAATATAATTACTAAAATAAAATAAAAACATTATTATTAAAATGATTTATACATACAGTCGCTAAAATAAAACCGACGGTTCCGGCCATACGAATATACGGTGAGTTAAATCTTTTGGCCAAATACTGTGATATAAATTTTATTTCAAAAAAATAATTTAAAAAATATATATACATGTATTATATTAAAAATTAATAAAAGAATAAAAGAATATATATACATGTATTGTATTAAAAATTAATAAAATTAAATTTAAAAATAATAATAATCTTAAACAACAATACCCTCACCCACTAACCTCATTGACACTCAATAGTCCCATACGATAATAGATTGGCATAAATACGTGGGCGGCCAACACAATGGCCACAAAAAACGATATGATTTGCAACGAAAACTGTGTGCCCACCTGATAGACTTCGGCCGGCATACCCAGCAATGTATTGGTGGATGTAAAAGTGGCCACCAGTGACAGTGTAACCGGGAATACACCCAACTGGCGATTGCCGGTCAAAAACTCGTCATTGGATACCCGTTTACGGCCACTGAACCAAAAGTAGACGCCAATTACCGACGAAATGGCCAACAATAGACCGAATACAAGATAGTCGACAATTGAAAATTCGTCGCTAATAGCCATTGTGTTGGGACTAAACCTAAAATTGTTGGTCATTTTACTTAACACTTAAACAAATATAACTTTTAATAACTATATGATATACTATAACTAATTAACTTTTTTTTTTATTTTCAATAATAAAATACTTTAAACTCAATATATTTTTTATACACTATTTAGTAAATTACAGTATAATCTACTTTTTAAAAAAATATACTTAAATTGTTGGTGACATTAATATTTAATAAACAAAAAATAATTTTTATTACATTATATAATTCACTAACTTTTTTCTAAAGTCTAAATCAACTATTATATCAACTGATATAAAAAAATTAAAAATATTATCACATATTAATAATGATTATTTTGAAATTAAATGTTTATTATATCAACAAAAATCAATTAGTATGTCATTGAAATATTTTCCTAAATTAGAAATTAGAGATTAGAAAAAAAGTTTTTTTTCTAAAAATAAATAAACAATTTTTTTATAAATAAATAACTAATATTAAAAATATATAACTAAAGAAAAATTGCCAGTAATTTATTAGTTATATATTATTTTTAAACAAATTTTAAACAATTTTAAAAAATGACTGATATTTGTATTAATAAATATTTGAATTTTATTATGAATCTAATTATACGGCAGAAAACTTTAATAGATAATAATAAATATTTATTTAAAAATTTGATATAAATTTATATATATATATATATATATATATATTAATAATTATTTTACTAGTTTATAATATAAACTTTATTTTGTAGATAATCTATACCTTAAACTCTCTTAAAAGCTATGATGATAGATTTTTGAATTTAACTTGATTACGTATTTTATGATAATGTAAATTATATACCTTACTCATTTACAAATAAACAATTACTATCAAAATTATTTTTTTACCCTATTATTAATTAATTGTTTTTTTGTCAATAGTTAATGTTATACATTGTATGTTTAACTATTGTTTTTCATTGATATATAACATGTTTAATATATTTGTTTTTATAAAATTTTTTATTCCCTAATAAATTTTGTTATGTTATATTTGTTTTATTAATTTAGTTTTAATATTTTTTGTATAATTAACGTTCAGGGACCGATTAATAATAAACCTATGAGAGAGTCTATGATCTATACTATAGATTCTATAGTATACATGATAACTTTTTTTTTGATAAATGTTATAACATTATTGATGTTCAAAATTATAATAAATAAAATAATTATTCATAGATAACATAATAATTTTTTAATTATTTAGTTAAAAGTTTTTAAAAATAGATTACTATACTGTAAATAATAACTAAACTATGACTTTAGATAAAATATTTATTTAATTTGTACTAGTATATATATATAAGTGTGATTACTTTTATCATGATATTTTTCATAAATTATAATAATAGCTAAAAAATTCATATTTATAAAGTTAATTATAGATTACTGTATATACTATAGATTCTATAGTTAATTGAACCCTATTATTTTTTACGTAATTTAATGTATAAATCAATAATAAAATTTCTAAAAAAAATAACTGTCCGAATATATTCAAAACCAAAATATATAATATTAGTTTTGATTAAAAAAAACAATTGTTGAACAAATGTGTTTTTTTGTCTATTCATTGACTACATAATGCATTTACACATTAAAATACAATGATATGCAATGGTATTAATGCTTAAACTGATAGTTTAGAGATCTTATATAATAAATTTGTATAAAATTATCCAATATTTTGGTTTTGAATATATTGGGATAATTTTTTTTATAAAAATAATTATTGACTAATATATGAAAATATATTAAAAATTTTCAACCAATAGTACAGTAAAGCATTGATTTTTGTTTGTTAAAGCATTGAATATGCAAATCATTGATTGAATTGAATAATTGTATTCAAGTATTCAATTCAATTGATTTCAATGTTTTATACAGTAGTATAGTTCACAACAAAAAACAAGCATTTATTTCAATTGCTTTCAAATTGATTACTAATTTATTAATTAATATTATCATCAAATTGTAGCTAAAAAAAATCATAAATTAATTGATTTTTTTTTACAAATTAATTATTATTATCTTCAAAGGTATTTATGGCATCAAATAATCTAATGATGTGGTTATTGATGGCTAAGAAAATACATTCAAGAAATGAATGGTCAATAAGACAATCGTTTGATCGTTTTGGCGATGATTTGGCTGAACTGTTGTTGTCTTATCTGACAACCGAAGACAAACTAAAACTTGAATCGGTGTCCAAACAATGGCAACGATTGATACTGAAAACTGTAACAATGATTGGATTGAATGAATGGTCCAATTTGTTAGACGACGACGAGTTGGCTAAACTGTTGATGAAGTGTCCAAACGTTACACAACTCGACATTTATTGCAATATATTTCGGTTACCATTGATTAGCCAATACTGTCCACACTTACGACACATTCGTATTGATTTATATGGCGATGAAGAAGATGAAGAGGTGTCCGAAGAAATTGAAGAATTTTTCGGCCGATTTGCTAAACAATTGGAAATAATTTGTGTGACTAATACCGAACGCCAAGAAGTAATCGATTCATTGGACAATAATATCGAAAACTGTATAAATATCAAGAGATTTAAGTTCATCACTGACTTTGCCGACAATCACTATCGTATATATCGTCACTTCGCTAGTATTGGTGAACAACAACCACTGGTTTACCAGAAACTAAACAAACTTCGGATTACTATCGATACCAACGAAATGGCTGATATTTTCGTTAAGATTATCTCACTATATGGCCATCAATTGAAAGCACTGTCCATACAACTGAAGAATCATTCAAATTTCCAATCGGTTAACAAAGTTATGACTGGTTTGTCCGAAATGATGGCAAAATTGTTGATTGACTTAAAGATCGAAATCAATGATCGGTTCAATAATTTACAACAATTTGTTCAACTATTGCCACCAATTGGTCACAAATGTCAACAATTGAAGCGATTAAAACTTGATATGTTTAATGAAAGACAAGATATTAACGATAATAACGATAATCTTATGGATGGCAACCATATATTGTCGACTATTTCCCATAACTTTAAACAATTAAAGAGACTATATTTAAGTCGATTATATTATAACATTGATTTGATTGTATAATCCTTAATTTAAAAAAAAATAATAAAATAAATAATATAAAATTTAAAATCATTTATATATTACAAAATATTTTTTTGTGAAAAAAACCTTTTTAACTGATGTTTGATAATATGTTTGCCGTTTGCTATTCAATGGATATATGTATTTAACAATCGGTGACAATAGACTCGGATCTATATTATCATTGCGTTTGCCTTTTATTGAAAATCATATCAAAATTTTTAAAAAAAAAAAGTTTATATAACATTGAATATACAGTATTATTGTATTTTTTAAAATAATATAATTATAAAATGATAAATAGCAATTTAAATTTTGACAAACCTAAACATAAACTTAATATTATGGTAACAAACAATGAGATAACTAAACCAATGGTTGACATCAATAGATATGATATATGAAACACTTTACCAAAACCGCTGACCAAAAAAAAAATTAATTGTAAATTAAAAATAATTATATATATAAAAAAAACTTTAAATACTCGGGATTATCGTAGTGTGTGATAAACACTGGTCGGTCTAATATTGTTGTGTTATTTGATCCCATCATCAGTAGATAGTCTTGGATCAGATGAGCCGCACACGAGTCGATAGTTGTCGGCAATGAGACTTTGGGTCGCGGGATAATCATTGCACCAATTGATAGCATATAACTGACAGATATGCCGCTTATAAAACCAATTAGTGTCGCCTAAATTGTGTCGTAAAAAATCATGAAAATAAGTATTTATATAAATATATAATAATTAAAAAATAAAAAATTAATTTATCATGGTAATTTTTTTATTTGAAACCAATGATGTTGCATAGGGATAGAATATGCCGATAATAAACAGTGCAAACATTGGTCCCAATGTTGATCCGGTCAATGCTAACGATGCCTGCATTACTGTGCCGGCATTGCCCACACCAAAGGACATGGCTATTGCTAACAATCCATAGGACATGGCTTTTAGGATAAATTATCATAAAAGGTATGAATAAAATTTAAAAAAAATCAATTATTGTGTTAGTTATAGCCCATTATAATTAGGTCCTAACCAATTAGCTTAGTTATGTTTAGCGACTGTCTATCACTGGTTATTTTCAAACATGGTTTGACTATATCTATCCATGTTATAGTAGCCAATGCATTGAAACCTGATGATAATGTACTGTAAATTTATTACTATCTAGTAGTTTATAGAACCGGTATTATATATATATATATTTAAAAACTAAACAATTAATTTAAATATTTAGCTACCTAAGCGATCCGCTAAATATACATGCAACAAATAGGCCGGGTAGTCCCGGATATTTTGCTAGTGTGTCCATTACAAAGTAGGGCATCAGTTGGTCGTGTCGGCTGATTAGTCCCAAAGTGATTGGATCGCAATCATGATTTTTGGCGTATATAACCATACCGCATAGTATGGCCATCACACCCAATAGTATTAGGCCGGGTAGGTTCCAGTAGAGGGTACTTTATTTTTTTAAATGTCCAAATTTCAATTACCAGAACAGTACATAAATTATATACATTTTTAAAATACTGTACTAAAATACCGTTTGGCTTTAGCCGCCGATTCCATACTAATGTATCGCTGAACCTGTGCCTGTTTGACACAGTAGACAGCTGTCCATGAGATGGTTGTACCGATTACGACGTTCCAGAAGTTGTCGTGATTGTAGACATCAAATTGCATACTAATTAATAATAATATTAACATAAAAAAATAATCAATTAAATAAATACACTAATATCTAACTATTCTATTGTGTTATTGAAAAAATAAATAAATTGACAACAAATTTAAATTTTTAAAGTTTTTTTAATTAAAAATAAATTATTGATTACTTACTTGAAAAACTTGAGTCGACCGCCCTTTTCATTGATATGCCATACTTTGGCTATTCCGCCGACTTCTAAAATACCCTTTTAAAAAAAAAAATTATTAAAATATAATATAAGTTTTAAAATAAATTATAACATTTTTTTATCTACCCCCCCCCAACTAATTACTTGTATGATAACCATTAGGACACCCAAAAACATTAGTATACATTGTATAACATCAGTCCATATAACAGCTTTAATGCCACCCTTTTTTTATTTGGTTTAATTACACAAAAAATAAATATTAATTATTTTTTTCTAGTAATTTGCAAAAATTTGTAATTATATTTAATTAGATTAGATTTTAAAATATAAGTTACTTTTTTCAAACAAACAAACAAAAATAATTATTATTATTAAACTAACTAACAATTGTTGTATAGAAAGTACAGATAACTCCAACCACTAGTATAGATGTTGAGATCGATAGAGGAGTAACTATTAAAAGCCATTAAAAATTATCAATAAAAATAAAAATTATATTTAATAATAATAATTAAAAAAAACATATCAAACAATAATAATAAACTATATTAACTAAATAAAATACCTGAGCTCAATGCTAGTGCCGGACCATATAAAACAATAGCCATATGTGGAGTCTGTAAAATAAAATAAAATAAAAATGTTATTATAATTAAATACTAAAACTAATTATTATAGTTTATTGTAGATAATCTAACCTAAAACTAATTATTAAACAAAAAATCTCTAACAGAAAAAAAATCAAATTTAATACTGTATTATAGAGTTATATATATTGATAATATAATTACTAAAATTAAAAAAAAACATTATTATTATTAAAATGATTTATACGTACAGTCGCTAAAATAAAACCAACGGTTCCGGCCATACGAATGTACGGTGAGTTAAATCTTTTGGCCAAATACTGTGATATAATTTTTATTTCAAAAAAAATAATTAAAAAAATATATACATGTATTATATTAAAAACTAATAAAAAATATATACATATATTATATTAAAAATTAATTAAATAATAAAAAATATAAACATGTATTGTATTAAAAATTAATAAAATAAAATTTTCAACAAAAAAAATAATAATCTTAGACAACAACACCCCCACTAACCTCATTGACACTCAATAGTCCCATACGGTAATAGATTGGCATAAATACGTGAGCGGCCAACACAATGGCCACAAAAAACGATATGATTTGCAACGAAAACTGTGTGCCCACCTGATAGACTTCGGCCGGCATACCCAGCAATGTATTGGTCGACGTAAAAGTGGCCACCAGTGACAGTGTAACCGGGAATACACCCAACTGGCGATTGCCGGTCAAAAACTCGTCATTGGATACTCGTTTACGGCCACTGAACCAAAAGTAGACGCCAATTACCGACGAAATGGCCAACAATAGTCCGAATACAAGATAGTCGACAATTGAAAATTCGGCGCTAATAGCCATTGTGTTGGGACTAAACCTAAAATTGTTGGTCACTTTACTTAACACTTAAACAAATATAACTTTTAATAACTATATGATATACTATAACTAATTAACTTTTTTTTTATTTTCAATAATAAAATACTTTAAACTCAATATATTTTTTATACACTGTTTAGTAAATTAATGTTATATTATAATTTATTTTTTTTAAATATACCTAAATTGTTGGTGACATTAATATTTAATAAACAAAAAATAATTTTTATTACATTATATAATTCACTAACTTTTTTCTAAAGTCTAAATCAACTATTATATCAACTGATATAAAAAAATTAAAAATATTATCACATATTAATAATGATTATTTTGAAATTAAATGTTTATTATATCAACAAAAATCAATTAGTATGTAATTGAAATATTTTCCTAAATTAGAAATTAGAGATTAGAAAAAAAGTTTTTTTTCAAAAAATAAATAAACAATTTTTTTATAAATAAAAAACTAATATTAAAAATATATAACTAAAGAAAAATTGCCAGTAATTTATTAGTTATATATTATTTTTAAACAAATTTTAAACAATTTTAAAAAATGACTGATATTTGTATTAATAAATATTTGAATTTTATTATGAATCTAATTACTAGTATACGGCAGAAAACTTTAATAGATAATAATAAATATTTATTTAAAAATTTGATATAAATTTATATATATTAATAATTATTTTACTAGTTTATAATATAAACTTTATTTTGTAGATAATCTATAGTATACATGATAACTTTTTTTTGATAAATGTTATAACATTATTGATGTTCAAAAATTTTGAATCAAAATTATAATAAATAAAATAATTATTCATAGATAACATAATAATTTTTTAATTATTTATTTAAAAGTTTTTAAAAATAGATTACAATACTGTAAATAATAACTAAACTATGACTTAGATAAAATATTTATTTAATTTGTACTAGTATATATATATAAGTGTGATTACTTTTATCATGATAATTTTCATAAATTATAATAATAGCTAAAAAATTCATATTTATAAAGTTAATTATAGATTATATACTATAGATTCTATAGTTAATTGAACCCTATTATTTTTTACGTAATTTAATGTATAAAATCAATAATAAAATTTCTAAAAAAAATAACTGTCCGAATATATTCAAAACCAAAATATATAATATTAGTTTTGATTAAAAAAAAACAATTGTTGAACAAATGTGTTTTTTTTGTCTATTCATTGACTACATAATGCATTTACACATTAAAATACAATGATATGCATTGTATTAATGCTTAAACTGATAGTTTAGAGATCTTATATAATAAATTTGTATAAAATTATCCAATATTTTGGTTTTGAATATATTTGGATAATTTTTTTTAGAAAAATAATTATTGACTAATATATGTATAGATATTTAAAAACTATTAAAAATTTTCAACCAATAGTACAGTAAAGCATTGATTTTTGTTTGTTAAAGCATTGAATATGCAAATCAATGATTGAATTGAATAATTGTATTCAAGTATTCAATTGATTTCAATGTTTTATATTATAGTTCACAACAAAAAACAAGCATTTATTTCAATTGCTTTCAAATTGATTACTAATTTATTAATTATTATTATCTTCAAAGGTATTTATGGCATCAAATAATCTAATGATGTGGTTATTGATGGCTAAGAAAATACATTCAAGAAATGAATGGTCAATAAGACAATCGTTTGATCGTTTTGGCGATGATTTGGCTGAACTGTTGTTGTCTTATCTGACAACCGAAGACAAACTAAAACTTGAATCGGTGTCCAAACAATGGCAACGATTGATACTGAAAACTGTAACAATGATTGGATTGAATGAATGGTCTAATTTGTTAGACGACGACGAGTTGGCTAAACTGTTGATGAAGTGTCCAAACGTTACACAACTCGACATTTATTGCAATATATTTCGGTTACCATTGATTAGCCAATACTGTCCACACTTACGACACATTCGTATTGATTTATATGGTGATGATGAAGAAGATTTTGTAGACGTTTCCGAAGAAATTGAAGAATTTTTCGGCCGATTTGCTAAACAATTGGAAATAATTTGTGTGACTAATACCGAACGCCAAGAAGTAATCGATTCATTGGACAATAATATCGAAAACTGTATAAATATCAAGAGATTTAAGTTCATCACTGACTTTGCCGACAATCAAAATCGTATATATCGTCACTTCGCTAGTATTGGTGAACAACAACCACTGGTTTACCAGAAACTAAAAAAACTTCGGATTACTATCGAAACCAACGAAATGGTAGATATTTTCGTTAAGATTGTCTCACTATATGGCCATCAATTGAAAGCACTGTCCATACAACTGAAGAATCATCCAAATTTCCAATCGGTTAACAAAGTTATGACTGGTTTGTCCGAAATGATGGCAAAATTGTTGATTGACTTAAAGATCGAAATCAAAGATCGGTTCAGTAATTTACAAGAATTTGTAAAACTTTTGCCACCAATTGGTCAAAAATGTCAACAATTGAAGCGATTAAAACTATATATGATTAACGAAAGACAAGATATTAACGATAATAACGATAATCTTATGGATGGCAACCATATATTGTCGACTATTTCCCATAATTTTAAACAATTAAAGAGACTATATTTAAGTCGATTGTATTATAACATTGATTTGATTGTATCTAATAATACAATGAATGGATTCAAACGTTTGACACATTTGTCAATCATATCAATGCCAATGTCGACAACCGATCAGCAGTTTATCGGTAATATTGTTGCTAACTGTCCGCGACTACAGTACTTGGATTACAGCGGCGATCGCATTGATTCAAATCAATTGCAATCAGTGTTACGATTACCGAAATTACAGGTAATTAACTTAAACAATGTCGATGAAGACGATATTGATTTCGATGAGATTGAATTGTGCGGTAAATTACGCGATATTACTATTAATTCAAACGATATTAGATATTACAAGTCATATGACGGCAATTGTTCAGACAGTGATCTTTTATATAACCTTTTTTTCCAATAATTATAACATTAAAAAAACTTATTTAACGGTAATTTAGTTACCATTTGGTTATATTATAAAAATTTTTCATAAATAATCTATTAATTTTGTTAAATTATAAATGAATAATATATTTGCAGACAAAAATACAAAAAAAAAACAAAATTTCAATTTATTTTTGTTTTGATAACTAATAGATAACTTTTGATGGATATATTATTATATATTTTTTAATAATCTATTCAATACTATAATTATATATATAATTCATATAGAAGTGTCTTTATTCAATGAATCCTTAATTATAAAAAATAAATAAATATTAAATTTAAAAACATTTATATATTACAATATATTTTTTGTGAAAAAAAACCTTTTTAACTGATGTTTTATAATATGTTTGCCGTTTGCTATTCAATGGATATATGTATTTAACAATCGGTGACAATAGACTCGGATCTATATTATCATTGCGTTTGCCTTTATTTTAAATAAAAAAATAATAAATTTAAAAATATTAATTTATTTTTATAGGTATGTTATAAAAAAAATTAAATATACTGTTAATTAACAAACCTATACATAGACTTAAAATTATGGTAAAAAACAATGAGATAATCAAACCAATGGTTGACATCAATAGATATGATATATGAAACACTTTACCAAAACCACTAAACAAATTAAATTTTTTTTAAAAATTGTACAATAATTGTTACATTAGTTAAATTATTTTTAAAGATATAAATAACAAATTAAAATCAAAATACTCGGGATTATCGTAGTGTGCGATAAACACTGGCCTAACTAATGATGTTTTGTTATTTGATCCCATCATCAGTAGATAGTCTTGGATCAGATGAGCCGCACACGAGTCGATAGTTGTCGGCAATGAGACTTTGGGTCGCGGGATAATCATTGCACCAATTGATAGCATATAACTAACGGATATACCGCTTATAAAACCAATTAGTGTCGCCTAAATTGTGTTGTCGTGTATATACAGTAACGTAAATAGTTATTTATAATTTTTTAAAAAAAATATTAGTAAACAAAAATTATCATGCTAATTTTGTTTACTTGTTTGTTTGTATTATTAATCAACAATACATACGGTACATACCAATGATGTTGCATAGGGATAGAATATGCCGACAATAAACAGTGAAAACATTGGTCCCGATGTTGATCCCGTCAATGCTAACGATACTTGCATTACAGTACCAGCATTTCCAACACCAAAGGACATGGCTATTGCCAACAATCCATAGCACATGGCTTTTAATTGATAGGATTGACAAACAGTTTAATTTATAAATTTAAAATCAATCAATTATTAGTCAATCAATACTGTTATCATACCCTAACCTACCAATTAGTTTAGTTATGTTTAGAGTCTGTTTTTCATCGGTTATTTTCAAACATGGTTTGACTATATCTATCCATGTCATGGTAGCCAATGCATTGAAACCAGATGATAATGAACTATTTTGTATCAAATATTATAAGTGGTATATTATTTACAAACACACAAAAAATAGTAATTAAAAACAAAATTTTTGTTTAGCTACCTAAGCGATCCGCTAAATATACATGCTACAAATAGGCCGGGTAGTCCCGGATATTTTGCCAGTGTGTCCATCACAAAGTAGGGCATCAGTTGGTCGTGTCGGCTGATTAGTCCCAAAGTGATTGGATCGCAATCATGATATTTGGCGTATATAACCATACCGCACATTATGGCCAACACGCACAATAGTATTAGGCCGGGTAGGTTCCAGTAGAGGGTACTTTAATTTTTTTTAAAATGTCAAAATGTCAATGACCAGTATAGTACATAAATTATATACATTTTTTTAAATACTAAAATACCGTTTGGCTTTAGCCGCCGATTCCATACTAATGTATCGCTGAACCTGTGCCTGTTTGACACAATAGACAGCTGTCCATGAAATGGTTGTACCGATTACGACATTCCAGAAGTTGTCGTGATTGTAGACATCAAATTGCATACTAATTATAACAATAATAAAATAAAAATCAATTAATCATTTTAATTGTATTATATTATAATTTTTTAAATTAATAACTTTAGCTATAAATTACAGTACATATAATATATAATAACATAATATAACAAATATATAGTTTTTTTATTATACAAATATTTTTGATTACTTGAAAAACTTGAGTCGACCGCCCTTTTCATTGATATCCCACACTTTGGCTATACCGCCGACTTCTGAAATACCCTTTAAATTATTTGACATAAAAAAATATATAAATTATTAAAAAAAATAATAATATTATATAAAAAATGCTTTTTTTGCCCACAAACTTGTATGATAACCATTAGGACACCCAAAAACATTAGTATACATTGTATAACATCAGTCCATATAACAGCTTTAATGCCACCCTTTTTTATTTGGTTTAATTACACAAAAAAATAAATATTAATTAATTTTTTCTAATAATTTGTAATATTTTAATTATATATTTAATTAGATTAGATTTTAAAATCTAAGTTACTTTTTTTCAAACAAACAAACAAAAATAATTATTATTAAACTAACTAACAATTGTTGTATAGAAAGTACAGATAACTCCAACCACTAGTATAGATGTTGTGATCGATAGAGGAGTAACTAATAATATGATAGAAAAAAACATTAAAATTATTAATAATAATTAATTTAGTTTAATAAAAATTAATTTCTTTCTAATAATAATAATAATATTTTATAATTTAAACTAAATAAACTAAACTACCGGAGCTTAATGCTAATGCCGGACCATATAAAACAGTTGCCATATGTGTAGTCTGTAAACAACAAAAAATATTTTTATTGATAATAATTTTTTATAATCAATAAATGCTTTTTAAATAACTATAAAAATTATATAATTTTTGATCAAAAATAATTAATATTGATTTAATAGACTATTTTATTAATTATTAATAGGCTAAATAATGGTCTAACCATTAAAATCTAGTTTACTTGTATATACAATATATAATAATTAATAATTTATTTTTTACATACAGTCGCTAAAATAAAACCGAAAGTTCCGGCCAGACGTATGTACCCGGAGTTAAATCTTTTGGCCAAATACTGGGACATAAAAATTGAAACATTAATATAAAATATAGCCCACACTCTTAAACACCCACCTCATTGACACTCAATAGGCCCAACCGGTAATAGATTGGCATAAATACGTGTGCGGCCAACACAATGGCCACAAAAAACGATATGATATTCATCGAGAACTGTGTGCCCACCTGATAGACTTCGGCCGGCAAACCAAGCAATGTATTGGTCGACATAAAAGTGGCCACCAGTGACAGTGTGACCGGGAATACACCCAACTGGCGATTGCCGGTCAAAAATTCGTCACTGGATACCCGTTTGCGGGCACTGAACCAAAAGTAGATACCAATTGCCGACGAAATGGCCAACAATAGACCGAATACAAGATAGTCGACAATTGAAAACTCGGCACTAATAGCCATTGTGTTGGGACTAAACCTAAAATTGTTGGTCACTTTACTTAACACTTAAACAAATATAACTTTTAATAACTATATGGTATATTATAACTCATTAACTTTTTTTATTTCAAATAATAAAATACTTTAAACTCAATATATATATTTTTATACACTGTTTAGTAAATAAATGTTTTTTTGTTGTTGATTACTTTATAAATATAAATATATAAAAATATATTATCACTGTTGTAATCATTAATAATTACTATTTAATTGAATGTTTATATATACTGTATATATAAAAAAATGTTTGACAAAATATAATTTTATTAGTACTGTATATTATAATTGTTAGTAATATTATTTAATTGAATAAAAAATATATATTAAACTTTATTTATACATATTAAGTAAATAATAGATAAATCAAAATGATATTCAAAATCAATTAGGATGTCATTGAAAATTGTTGCCTAAATAAAGTGTAGATTAAAAAAATAATTTCTAAAATAAATAAATAGAGTTTTTTTAAACAATGATACAAAAATATCTTATTTTATTTATGATATTTGTTTAGTAAATATTATGACATTTACAGTGATTGTAAACATAAATTAAATTAAACAAGTTAAATTATTTAATTAATTAGAATTATAATAGAAAAAATTTTTATCATAAAATTTATAATTTATAATACATTATAATTGATTGTAATAATAAAAATAAATACTACTATATTGGAACTAATATATTATTAAAATTGATTTAATTTGTAAAGTAGATTAATTTAATTAATTATTTAAACTATTTATTGAAAATTTTAAACAATTTTATCTAATATTAATAATACGATGAATGATATCAAACAGTTAATAAAATTGACAATCCTATGAAAGCCTATGTCGACAACCGATCAGTTTATCGGTAATATATTGTCGCCAAACTGTCCGCGACTTCAATATCTTGTTGTATACAGTGGTCATCGTATTGACCACACATTTGCCGACAATTATATTTAATTCAAATATACAAAAAATGTGTTTTTTTAAATATTTATTTTATTTTTTAAATAAAATTTTTATGCCTATTAATAAATTATTATATATACAGTATATATTGTATTTGTTTTACTAATTTATTATTAGTATTTAAATAATTTTAACAATAATTAAAAAACCTTTACGTTTAAGTACTATTATATATACCTAAATGTCTATAAACCTATTGTTGTAATCAAATGTCTCGCAATCTGTATTCAAATAATTTTATTGGGATTTTAAATATAAAATAGTTTTATTAATTTCAATTGATTCAAGTGTTTTAAAAAATTTGTTTCAATTGATTTCAATTCATTAAAAATATATATTATCATTAAATTGTTTCATCAAATTGTAAGATTATTTAGTTTTCTTAATACTGTATATATTGTCTTTCATTGATAGTTATTAGTCTTCAGGTATGACATCAACAAAACAAGCGATTAGTCAGCCATTGGTGGCAAAGAAAATGGGTTTAACTAACGATTCTTCGAGTCGACAATCGTTTGATCGTTTCGGCGATGATTTGTCAGAACTCATGTTATCTTATCTGACATTTGAGGACAAACTAAGACATGAATCGGTGTCCAAACAATGGCATCAATTGATACCACAGACTGTGACAGACATTAGATTTGATGAGAAGTTCCTGCAAATAACCGACAACTCGTTGACCGCACTGTTGTCGAAGTGTCCAAACATTACAAGCATTGATATTAGTCTTTTGGATTTTACTAAAGATTATACCTATAGTTTTTCATCAATTAACCGATACTTATCTATATTGTCATTAATTATCCGATACTGTCCACAGTTGCGACACATCTATATAGACAGAAACGTTGGTACAAACAATTTGGTGTCACTCTACGATATAATCGATGAATTGGTTCCACTCTTTCATAGACTCAATCAATTGATTCCAGAATATGATAGACTATTCACTGTCTTTGCCGAACAATTGCAGACAATTCAAGTGAAAGATCAAGTCTTTAAACTACTGAACAAAGTTCTCATCAAACATCTCAAGAAGTGTACAAATCTATCGACATTTAGCGACTCTGTGCCTGAAATTTATAGACAGTTGACTATTGAACCGCTATTCAAGAGACTGAAGAAACTTGAGATCAATGTCTTAAATAAGAAAATGGTTAACATTTTTCAAGATATTGTCCGACTATATGGCAAACAATTGACTGTATTGTATGTGGAAATCATTTTGGATGAAATTAGTGACCACTTTAAGACAATAATGACCGGTTTGTCACAAATGTCACAATTGTTTGACTTAAATATTAAACTTAATGATATCGACAATACTGATTGGACACAATTGTCGCAACTGTTGCCACCAATTGGTCACAATTGTTACCGATTGAAGAGATTGACAATTTGTTTAGAAACTAATGAAATCGATGACGAAATTGGCAGCAATTTATTGAAAAGTATTTTCGATAATTTTAAACAATTAAAGCGATTGTTTTTGATTGAAAAATCTCGTAATGGTATTGATTTGATTGGATCAGATGACAATCATCAGATGATGAATGGATTCAAACAGTTAACACATTTGTCGATCATATCAAAGAAGATGTCGACAACCGATCATCACTTTATCAGTAATATTGTCGCTAACTGTCCTCGACTTCAATATCTTGAATACACGGGTTATTGCATTGATTCAAATGGATTGCAATCGTTGTCACAATTACCACATTTGCGGACAATTATCTTAAACAATGTCTGTAACGCCGATTTGAATGCTATTCAAAATTGTAGAAAAATTTGCAAAGTTTTCATTTCCGGTGAAAATAATAAATTGCTGTGAAATGTATGTAAAACTATTTTTGTAATTTAGTTTTTATTTTATTATTTTATTTGTTTATTTGATTATAATAAATATATATATATATATTTTTTATATTTAATTAATTCTATGTATTTTTGATCTAATTATATGATATATTTTATTTAATTAAAAACATTATATTACCAATATTTTTAATAATTACTTTAACAGTAATTTTATAATGATATTTATATATTAAAAAAAACTTATTAAAACTTAAATTTTAAGTATTATTAATACAGTAATATTAAAGCAATGTTTGTATTAGTCATTTAAAGATATTTTTTGCTATTAAATATTACCGGTAATTGATTTTTTAATGATATCATTATATTATTTAAATATTATTTTTTTAAAAATTTTAGCTATTTAGTTTAGTTACAATACTAATAATTAAATCATATACTACAGTGAGTATTACTAATACTAAATTTTACTAAATATTAATAATTACTAATTAATATAATTATAATATTCAAAAATTTAAAGTTCAGTAGTTTTTTTATTTATTAATAAAGCAATGAAAATACTAATACATTTTTTTTGAGTCATTTATTAATACAGTATTAAGTGTTAGTCAATGTATGCGCAAAATATATGATATATTTGACTATTAATTGATTTGATATTAAATCGTAAACCATTGTCTCATAACAGATATGGTATTAATTGAGACAATGATTTAGTCATCGATGACAATAAAGAGATAATTTATTTTTCAGAATTTTCATCAGATATGGTATCAAAAGAAATGATGGATTATTAACCAGTGCTGACAATGAAGAGACGATTGCGAAGATATTTAAAAAGAAAATACTTAAGACGACAATCGTTTGATCGTTTTGGCGATGATTTATGTCAATTGATATTATCTTATCTGACATTTGATGATAAGATAAGACTTGAATTTGYGTCCAAACAATGGCAACGATTGATATTAGAGACTGTGACAGACGCTATATTTGACGATATGTTTGAYCCAAAACAGTTCAGACCGACTGACTTGTGTCCGACTGACCGAATGAAYTCATTGATTACCACACTATCGAAGTGTCCAAACATTACACGGATTGAAATTAGGGACTGTTATTGGCTTAAAACACAACTGTTGCCAACCATTTGCCGATATTGTCCTCACGTCCGACACATCTATATCTGCCACGACTGCGACTACGACTCCATATCAATGTTTAACAACACATTTAACAGCGACAACATATCTGTGCCCATTGTTGACGAATTTTTCCACGTATTTGGCAAACAATTGCAGACAATTTATATAAGACTCGATTGGTGTCAAAAAATTGATACAATTTTGCGTCGAAATCTMCGTAAATGTATAAACTTGTTGTCATTTGATTACAATCCATACATTGATAGTGATTACTATGAATTGTATAAAAACTTGACTGTGACTGAAATAATGCAATTGTTGTCTTTGGATCCGTTATTCAACAGATTAAGCAAACTTTGTATCCGTTTTACAGACAGTCGAATGGTTAACATATTTGAAGATATTGTCCGATTATATGGCAATCAATTGACATCAATTAGTGTATATCTCTATGAATTGGATATTTATGGACATAACTATACGAATATGACTTATAACGATATAAAGACAATTATGTCGTGTTTGTCACAATTGACACAATTGTTGGACCTAACCATTCATGTATATGATAACGACGCAACCTATTGGAAACAATTTCCGCAACTGTTGTCACCAATTGGTCGCAATTGTCAACGATTGAAAAGATTGACAATTAATTTTCATATTGAAAGGGATGAAAATTGTAGCGATTTATTTAAAAATATTTGCGATAATTTTAAACAATTAAAGCGATTGCATATCACAGATAGTTATCGTAATTATGATGAGATTGATTGGATTGGATCTAATAATACAATGAGTGGTTTTAAACAGTTAACACATTTGTCAATAAAATCAAATGAGATTTCGACAACCGATCAGTTTATCGATRATATTGTCGCTAACTGTCCGCGACTTCAATACTTGMAATACAGCGGTAATTACATTGATTCAAATGCATTGMAATCATTGTTACGATTACCACATTTGCGGACAATTTACTTAAACAATKTCAACTTCGATGATATAAAWGMKATARAAGATAATTTTRAATCACGAAAAATAAATTTTGATTATTACTGGTAATCAATATTTGATTAAAATTAATATAGATTTTTTAACCAATCTATTGGGTGAATACAACTATTATTTATATTTAATAAAATAGTAAATTTTTATTAATATAAAAAAATATTAAATTTATTTAATGTTTTGATGCTTATTTTATTATTAAATACTTTATATTGTATCGAATTCAATCATATAACTAAAATAAATCAAAATAAATATAATTAGTATTTATATTTATGAAAAGTGATTTTTTAAACATTAGTTTAATACTATTAATATATAATACTATAATATATATTGTTGCAATATAAAAGCATTGTTTGTGTTAATATATTTAGAAATAATTTATAATTACCAGGAATTAGTTTTTTAATTAATATCATTATATTATTTATAAATTAAAATTAAAAAACACTTGAGTTATTTAGTTTGTTATAACACTAATAATCAAATCATATACTATGTATGTTATATTAATATATATGTTATGTTACTAGATATTAATAATTAATAATTAATATAATTATAATATTCTAAAATTTAAAGTTCAGTAGTTTTTTTTATTTATTTTTAAAGCAATGAAAATACTAATAAATTTTTAAGTCATTTATTAATACAGTATTAAGTGTTAGTCAATGTGTGCGCAAAATATAATATATATTTGACTATTAATTGATTTGATATTAAATTGTAAACCATTGTCTCATAACATAAATGGTATTAATTTAGACAATGATTCAGTCATCGATGGCAATAAAGAAATGATTTATTTTTCAGAATATGATATCATAGAAAATGAGGGATTATTTACCAGTGCTGACAATGAAGAGCCGATTGCGAAGAACAATAAAATACTTAAAACGACAATCGTTTGATCGTTTTGGCGATTATTTATGTCAATTGATATTATCTTATCTGACATTTGATGATAAGATAAGACTTGAATTTGTATCCAAACAATGGCAACGATTGATATTACATACTGTGACAGACGCTATATTTGACGATATGTTTGATCCAAAAAAGTACAGACCGACTGACTTGTGTCCGACTGACCGAATGAACGCATTGATTACCACAGTATCCAAGTGTCCAAACATTACACGGATTGAAATTAGGGACTGTTATTGGCTTAAAACACAACTATTGCCAACCATTTGCCAATATTGTCCTCACGTCCGACACATCTATATCTGCCACGACTTCGATGACGACGCCTTATCTCCTTATTTCAACACATTTAATAGCCATAACATTTCTGTGCCAATCGTTGATGATTTTTTCGACGTATTTGGCAAACAATTGCAGACAATTTACATAAGACTCGATTGGTGTCAAAAAATTGATACAATTTTGCGTCGAAATCTCCGAAAATGTATAAACTTGTCGTCATTTGATTACAATCCAAACTCGTACAGTGATTGCTATGAAGTGTATCAAAACTTGGCTGTAATTGAAATATTTCAATTGTTGACTTTGGAGCCGCTATTCAATAGATTAAGCAAACTTTGTATCTRTTTTACATACAGTCAAATGGTTAACATATTTGAAGATATTGTCCGATTATATGGCAATCAATTGATATCAATTAGTGTATATCTCTATGAACTGGATATTTTTGAAGATACCTATAACAATATGAGTTATAACGATATAAAGACAATTATGTCKWGTTTGTCTCAATTGACACAATTGTTGGACCTAACCATTAATGTGAATGATATCTTCGAAACCTATTGGAAACAATTKCCGCAACTGTTGCCACCAATTGGTCGCAACTGTCGCCGATTGAAAAGATTGACAATTGATTTTCGTATTCAAAGGGATGAAAATTGTAGCGATTTATTGAAAAGTATTTGCGATAATTTTAAACAATTAAAGCGATTGCATATCATAGATAGTTATGATAATTATTATGATGGCATTGATTTGATTGGATTTAATAATACAATGAATTGTTTCAAACARTTAACACATTTGTCAATTAAATCAAACCGGTTGTYGACAACCGATCAGTTTATCGATGATATTRTCGCTAACTGTCCATTAAAATTTTAATCAAATACAAAATGTAGACAAATTAAAGAATTAAAGCAATATTTACAAACTACTTCAAATACAAGAATTGATTTAAAATGACAATTAAAATGTTTTAAATAATTAAAATTTTAATAATACAAAATTTTACAAATATAAATAATTAAAGCAATATTTACAAATATTTCAAATACAAAAATTGATTTAAAGTTCAATTAAAATGTTTTAAATAATTAAAATTTTAATCAAATACAAAATGTAGACAAATTAAAGAATTAAAGCAATATTTACAAACTACTTCAAATACAATGTTGATTTAAAATACAATATATATGTTTTAAATAATTAAAATTTTAATCAAATACAAAATGTAGACAAATTAAAGAATTAAAGCAATATTTACAAAATACTTCAAATACAAGATTGATTTAAAGACAATTAAAATGTTTTAAATAATTAAAATTTTAATTAAATACAAAATGTAGACAAATTAAAGAATTAAAGCAATATTTACAAAAAATACTTCAAATACAAGAATCGTTTAATCGACAATTAAAATGTTTTAAATAATTAAAATTTTAATCAAATGACAAAATGATAAGACAAATTAAATTTGTTCCAAACAATATTTACAAACGATTGATATTACAAATTAAAGACTGTGACAGACGCTTGATTTAAAATGACAATTAAAATGTTTTAAATAATTAAAATTTTAATCAAATACAAAATGTAGACAAATTAAAGAATTAAAGCAATATTTACAAACTACTTCAAATACAAGAACACGATTTAAATTAGACAATTAAAATGTTTTAAATAATTAAAATTTTAATCAAATACAAAATGTAGACAAATTAAAGAATAAAGCAATATTTACAAACTATTTCAAATACAAGAATTGATTTAAAATGACAATAAAAATGTTTTAAATAATTAAAATTTTAATCAAATACAAAATGTAGACAAATTAAAGAATTAAAGCAATATTTACAAAAACTTCAAATACAATTTGATTTAAAATGACAATTAAAATGTTTAAATAATTAAAATTTTAATCAAATACAAAATGTAGACAAATTAAAGAATTAAAGCAATATTTACAAACTACTTCAAATACAATGCAATTGTTGTAAATAACAAACAAAATGAAATTAAAATTATTTAATAATTAAAATTTTAATCAAATACAAAATGTAGTTAAATAATTAAAGAATATTTACAAACTACTTAAATACAATCAATTGATTTAAATTAGACAATTAAAATGTTTTAAATAATTAAAATTTTAATCAAATACAAAATGTAGACAAATTAAAGAATTAAAGCAATATTTACAAACTACTTCAAATACAAGAATTGATTTAAACCATTAATTAAAATGTTTTAAATAATTAAAATTTTAATCAAATACAAAATGTATACAAATTAAAGAAATAAAGCAATATTTACAAACTACTTTCAAATACAAGAATTGATTTAAATTGACAATTAAAATGTTTTAAATAATTAAAATTTTAATCAAATAAAATGTAGACAAATTAAAGAAGTTAAAGCAATATTTACAAACTACTTCAAATACAAGATTTATTTAAAATGACAATTAAAATGTTTTAAATAATTAAAATTTTAATCAAATCAAAATGTAGACAAATTAAAGAATTAAAGCAATATTTACAAACTACTTCAAATACAAGAATTGATTTAAATAGCCAATTAAAATGTTTTAGATAATTAAAATTTTAATCAAATACAAAATGTAGACAAATTAAAGAATTAAAGCAATATTTACAAACTACTTCAAATACAAGAATTGATTTAAAAGACAATTTTAAATGTTTTAAATAATTAAAATTTTAATCAAATACAAAATGTAGACAAATTAAAGAATTAAAGCAATATTTACAAACTACTTCAAATACAAGAATTAATTTAAATAGACAATTAAAATGTTTTAAATAATTAAAATTTTAATCAAATACAAAATGTATACAAATTAAAGAAATAAAGCAATATTTACAAACTACTTTAAATACAAATATTTTATTTAAATGACAATTAAAATGTTTTAAATAATTAAAATTTTAATCAAATACAAAATGTAACAAATTAAAGAATTATATTATAAATATAGCAATATTTTACAATCAATTGAATTTTTAAAATGACAATTAAAATGTTTTAAATAATTAAAATTTTAATCAAATACAAAATGTAGACAAATTAAAGAATTAAAGCAATATTTACAAACTACTTCAAATACAAGAATTGATTTAAAATATTAATTAAAATGTTTTAAATAATTAAAATTTTAATCAAATACAAAATGTAGACAAATTAAAGAATTAAAGCAATATTTACAAACTACTTCAAATACAAGATTTGATTTAAAATGACAATTAAAATGTTTTAAATAATTAAAATTTTAATCAAATACAAAATGTATTAAATTAAAGAAATAAAGCAATATTTACAAACTACTTCAAATACAAGAATTGATTTAAATAGACAATTAAAATGTTTTAAATAATTAAAATTTTAATCAAATACAAAATGTAGACAAATTAAAAAAATAAATCAATATTTACAAACTACTTCAAATACAAGTATTGATTTAAAATGACAATTAAAATGTTTTAAATAATTAAAATTTTAATCAAATACAAAATGTAAGATAAGATTTGAATTAAAGTCAATATTTACAAACGATTGAAATACAAGAATTGATTTAAAATGACAATTAAAATGTTTTAAATAATTAAAATTTTAATCAAATACAAAATGTAGACAAATTAAAGAATTAAAGCAATATTTACAAACTACTTCAAATACAAGAATTGATTTAAAATGACAATTAAAATGTTTTAAATAATTAAAATTTTAATCAAATACAAAATGTAGACAAATTAAAGAATTAAAGCAATATTTACAAACTACTTCAAATACAAGATTGATTTAAAATGACAATTAAAATGTTTTAAATAATTAAAATTTTAATCAAATACAAAATGTAGACAAATTAAAGAATTAAAGCAATATTTACAAACTACTTCAAATACAATTTTGATTTAAAATGACAATTAAAATGTTTTAAATAATTAAAATTTTAATCAAATACAAAATGTAGACAAATTAAAGAATTTTACAAACTATCAATGTCTTTACTTGGCTGTGACTGAAAAATGACAATTGTTGTTTTAAATAATTAAAATTTTAATCAAATACAAAATGTAGACAAATTAAAGAATTAAAGCAATATTTACAAACTACTTCAAATACAATCAATTGATTTCAAATGACAATTAAAATGTTTTAAATAATTAAAATTTTAATCAAATACAAAATGTAGACAAATTAAAGAATTAAAGCAATATTTACAAACTACTTCAAATACAAGAATTGATTTAAAATGACAATTAAAATGTTTTAAATAATTAAAATTTTAATCAAATACAAAATGTAGACAAATTAAAGAATTAAAGCAATATTTACAAACTATTTTTAATACAAAATTGATTTAAAATTTTAATTAAAATGTTTTAAATAATTAAAATTTTAATCAAATACAAAATGTAGACAAATTAAAGAATTAAAGCAATATTTACAAACTACTTCAAATACAAGATTGGATCCAAATAAAATACAATGAATGGTTTTAAATAATTAAAATTTTAATCAAATCAAAATGTAGACAAATTAAAGAATTAAATCAATATTTACAAACTACTTCAAATACAAGAATTGATTTAAATAGACAATTAAAATGTTTTAAATAATTAAAATTTTAATCAAATACAAAATGTAGACAAATTAAAGAATTAAAGCAATATTTACAAACTACTTCAAATACAAGAATTGATTTAAATAGACAATTAAAATGTTTTAAATAATTAAAATTTTAATCAAATACAAAATGTAGACAAATTAAAGAATTAAAGCAATATTTACAAACTACTTCAAATACAAGAATTGATTTAAAATGACAATTAAAATGTTTTAAATAATTAAAATTTTAATCAAATACAAAATGTATACAAATTAAAGAAATAAAGCAATATTTACAAACTACTTTAAATACAATAATTTATTTAAAATGACAATTAAAATGTTTTAAATAATTAAAATTTTAATCAAATCAAAATGTAGACAAATTAAAGAATTAAAGCAATATTTACAAACTACTTCAAATACAAGAATTGATTTAAATAGCCAATTAAAATGTTTTAAATAATTAAAATTTTAATCAAATACAAAATGTAGACAAATTAAAGAATTAAAGCAATATTTACAAACTACTTCAAATACAAGAATTGATTTAAAATGACAATTAAAATGTTTAAATAATTAAAATTTTAATCAAATACAAAATGTATACAAATTAAAGAAATAAAGCAATATTTACAAACTACTTCAAATACAAGAATTGATTTAAATAGACAATTAAAATGTTTTAAATAATTAAAATTTTAATCAAATACAAAATGTAGACAAATTAAAGAATTAAAGCAATATTTACAAACTACTTCAAATACAAGAATTGATTTAAAATGACAATTAAAATGTTTTAAATAATTAAAATTTTAATCAAATACAAAATGTAGACAAATTAAAGAATTAAAGCAATATTTACAAACTACTTCAAATACAAGAATTGATTTAAATAGACAATTAAAATGTTTTAAATAATTAAAATTTTAATCAAATACAAAATGTAGACAAATTAAAGAATTAAAGCAATATTTACAAACTACTTCAAATACAAGAATTGATTTAAATAGACAATTAAAATGTTTTAAATAATTAAAATTTTAATCAAATACAAAATGTAGACAAATTAAAGAATTAAAGCAATATTTACAAACTACTTTAAATACAATAATTTATTTAAAATGACAATTAAAATGTTTTAAATAATTAAAATTTTAATCAAATACAAAATGTAGACAAATTAAAGAATTAAAGCAATATTTACAAACTACTTCAAATACAAGAATTGATTTAAAATGACAATTAAAATGTTT